GACAGAGGGTTCCATCTGTCGCGCCAGACGAGACCTATGCATATCAAATTCTCTCGATTTAGCCTTTTTTAAGCTCCTATCTAGGAAGTGCGAATTACCAAGAAAGAAGCTCATAAAGATCTCGCATTGCGCATGTCAAATGCAGGATTCTCCAATCTACTTGGTTGTCTCCCCTTCTGTTTAAAATATGGTTTTTGAGTACATATCAAAAGACCCGAACAACAATGGTTTGTAGAGAATCCACAATGTATGTCTTCGACCCCAGACCGAAAGGATCAGACTCTGTTTCTGATATAGACCTTGGGATGGCAGTGTCGAAATCAGGCTTACAAAGAAAGGAGATCGAAGTGGCCTTTTGTGACGGGATGTATCTTGGAGAGCATAAAAGTTTATTCCAAATCTGTCTTTCTGCGGAATGTTCCTGCACGGAAGTTGTCGTTCATTCGAGAAAAATTCTAATGTATTTTTCTAGCGCTCACTAACAATGTTTATAATAGGAGTAAATACACAACATAGACCAAGTTTGTGATTAGTGGGTAGCCAAGAAGTGGTCGCTTTGACAGCTTAATTGTTCCAATCGCAAACATAACTTTGGTACTTCAAATAAAATCTCACACTTTTGCGAAGCGGTATTTTCATTGATTTTTAAGAAAGTTTCTAGAAAAAAGGCCGTCACTCTTAGAAGGCAGTCAAAATACTGACAAGGAAATACTCTATGACAACACGTCTTTGTCAACTTACAGTAAAAAAACAGTGATTTTATCGAGAAAAAGGCATAAAAATCTGATTACTAGAACATGAAGATGTAAAGCCTGCTTTATAGGTTTCCTAGTTTCTTCGAGAGGGTTCGTGCATGCTGTTTTGATAAATTTTTTGTGCTGTACAGGTACCTATCGGTAACACTTTATTGCCTACAGTTTTGGCACAACGCCGTTGGAAGCCCAGAAGAGTCAGTTCGATTCACGATCTTGAAATCAATTATCATAAGTGCCAGATATGAAAGGAAGACATATGACATATGTTTCAATCATGAAAGTGTTGACATCAGCAAATTGCACACTATTGTAGTAAGCAGCCCTCAAACTAGCCACTGTGCATCAACTATGAAAAATTGCTGCTGTGCATTTTCCAAGTAATAATAGCGCATGATAGAGTGCAAGGAATTGGCATAAACAAATCCATGACCCTTCCAGTAGTACTCATCAATGGCGATGTCTCCGCAGCAAGCGCCCTTACAGGTGCACTTCTCAGTGAAAGCATAGGCGTCCATGAAGTGATAACCGCTTACGTTAAAGGCGGTCCCGAAATACAGTCGGCTGTTGCCTAAATAAAGAAACGGGATTTTCAAATTAGCTCTTCTTTTTTGTTTATATCAAGCCTCAGAGCCACACAACATGTATGTGACCTAAATGACTACCACACATAGTTCTCAGACAGTCGATCGGACCCCTCCGGCGGACAGTCGAAATCTGCCAGAGCCGCGGCGGACACAGTTGACCAATGAGAGCGGGGCGAGGGGGCGGTCCCTTCTTGTGACGTCACAAAGAAGGCAGATCGGACCCCTCCGGCGGGCTTGCAAATCTCTCCGCCGCAAGTACGCCAGATTTGCTGGAGTCGCGGCGCAGAGATTTGCCCGCTGCGAGTCCGCCAGATCTGGAAGAGCCGCGGAGCAGAAAATCGGAGGGGTCCGGGACAGAAAATCGGAGGGGTCCGGGACAGAAAATGGGAGGCCGGCGCACAAAATGGGAGGGGTCCGGCGCACAAAATGGGAGGGGTCCGGCGCACAAAATGGGAGGCGTCCGGCGCACATATATGTACGCAGTCAATTTGCTGTGATACACAGCTTAGCATTTTCGAAAATAAGTTGCCGTCGCTCTCGTCTTACTCGTTTTTTGTCCTTCTTTCGCGCTCGTTTTTCTTTTTTTTGGTTTTTCGTGTTCCTCGTCGGCGCGCTGGCGTTTATTTGTTCATCTCCTTCTTTTCAGGTTTCAGGTTTTAGGTTTTCGTGCCGATGCACTTAGTCACTTTTAGTGTTTGGCTCTTTTCGACTTGCTGAGACATCGTTGACTATTGATGGAGTGGTTTTTGTGATTGAGATTCGGCCTCGGTACCCTTATGTGGTGTCTCTTGAATTATTTCCGTGTTTCCGGGATTGATTGATGCTAGAATTATCCGTACACTGCTTGGCTCTGTCTCAAGGAATATCTTATACGGTTAGTCTGTCGCATTTTTGCTAAATGCAAATCTGCTATGCAAGTTCATGCAACTCTTTCACATTTTTCAGAATATCGTCTACTTACAGTTTACCTGTTAGAAATTGTGACAGGCGCTCAAGAAATTTTCATTTTTTTTCGAGATTCCAAGTTCTCAGACTTTGCACAAAGTCATAATATGCAGAGTAAGTCTGTGTCCTTGTTTCTGATGATATATAAGCCTTCAAATTTGCATTCCAGCGTGAGGGTCACTCTAGGAGAAAAGGTCCACAGAAATGTCCATGTACCGTCGCACCGCAAACCAAACTTTACGTAGCTGCAGGTGAAAGGACAGATATCGCAGTGAAAGTGAGTGATACACGAAGTGCTCATTTTTGAGCTTGGATTTGTAAGGTCCAAAACCTCGATCCGATCTTCATGACGGATTTTCGATGTCACTTCAAAGTAGGAAACGTTGAACGCGAAAAACCTGCTGTCGGGACATTCGACCACAATGTGATATGAGGAAAATTGCAGTTGTTTTGATTCTGCATCCAATTCTATTTGTGCTTGTGATGAGAAGCAGTTCGATCACTACGGGCTTGGTGTATCGGGAGGATCAGCTCCGGTCGAGTTCAACGTTGTGTGGTCCTCGAGAGATTCTTCCAGAAAACACACTATGGATAACATTGGTGGAGTGGCCGTGGAGGTTAATCGGAATTTTTTCAGTGATAGGTGTCCTAATTTTTGGTTTTTCCAGGTTTATAAGTGCGAAGCTCTTGCATCGAACTGTGGCCGATATCTTACGCTGAATGCTGAAAAGTATGAATGTGGCTGGTGTGTTATAGACAACAGATGTGTTAGACCAATGGCATGCTTGGCAAGATGCTTGGCAAGGTACGTTTAGTTACTGGTTCACTAGTCTCATTACACATGGTCACCCCACCTGATAGTACTTTCTCGCTAGTAAAAGCGACAATTCCACAGGTGAACACAGCAGCAGTAGACCTAACCTTCGTTTTTCCACCGACGGGTCCCTTTTTAGGACTGAAGTCTTCATTAGCTGGATTTGCACACAGCTGCGTGCTATTCAGCCAATCTTGTGGTGATCTTGCCAAGCATGCCATTGGTCTAACACATCTGTTGTCTATAACACACTAGCCACATTCATACTTTTCAGCATTCAGCGTAAGACATCGGCCACAGTTCGATGCAAGAGCTTCGCACTTATACGCACACCTGGAAAAACCTCAAATTACGACACCTATCACTAAAAAAAATCCGATTAACCTCCACGGCCACTCCACCAATGTTATCCAGAGTGTGTTTTCTGAAAGAATCGCTCGAAGACCACACAACGTTGAACTCGACCGCAGCTGTTCCTCCCGATAACCAAGCCCGTAGTGATCGAACTGCATCTCATCACATCTGGCACAAACAGAATTGGATGCAAATTCCAAAAAACTGCAATTTTCAGTAAATCGTTTTGCAGTCAGTTTGAAATAAATGTTTCGTCTTGTCTTCATTCTTCTATTTTCTATCTACAAACGCTAGGTGTGAGAGGAAGGGGGTAGAGTACGGGGGTGAGGGTCGCGCTGAAGTCCTACCCGGGGGACGGGGGGGGGGTCGTATTCGGCTAATTTGGGTGTGGTTCAGAGACATAATTGGGGTTTGGAGCTTATTTAGGGTTAGTTACAGTATGCCGCAGCAGACTTGCGGAGCACAAAATCGGGGGGCTCCGGCGCACAAAATCGGGGGGCTCCGGCGCACAAAATCGGGGGGCTCCGGCGCACGAGTGGCAGACCCCCCGTTGGGGAAACCCCGCGGGCCCTGCCATTTCTGCGCCGGAGGGGTCCGATCGACTGTCTGAGTTTATCTATGAAATGGTGACGACGAATTTCTTTGCGGACTCTGCGCCCACAGAAGCATAAAACGTCCATACAAGAATGTAACACCTCAACGTTCAGCTTAGTCACTTTCAGTGCCTGAATATTACCATACGTAAGCAAAACCATTCGACTAGAGATGAAAACCAAGAAAATGCGATTTCCGGAAGTGGAGCGCGTGTCGCGCGGTCGCGCCATCGTCACAATTTTTCAAATGCATATGTATTTGATAGTGGCAGTCGCAGGATTTCCTCCAGGGGGGGGGGGGCAGCAGAAATTTCTTTCAGAAGAAGGTGCATGGTTAGCCATTCACGCTGCAGAAGTTTTTGGGCGCTCCTCAAAATTTTTTCGGGCCCAGAACCCCTAAAATTTAGAAAACGGCGGCAGCCAAACCCCAGAAAAAGTTTTTTACAAGGTTAATTTGAGTTTTGAAAATTATAATTATTTACAAGAATAGACACGCACGACAACACAAACAACTTGCACGCAAAATTTGAAAGCATTTGCAGGGAACAGCATTGCTGTAAAAACGCGTTCTACAAAATTTTCTTAAAAACTTACTTGGTCCAGTATAGACAGGTACCGAATCACAGTGTGGCTGAGAAGTCCTTGCAAAATCAAGTCTAAATGAATTTATAGGTCTCTCAGAAACTCTCAGTAAGTTCATGGCCCTCGGCTGTCATCTACCATCGCCACAGTACCTCTTAGCTGCTTTGAAGTCTTCCAAATTGGTGTTACCGAACAGCGTGAGATTTCTATCTGTGAAGTACATGTAGATAGTAGTCACGTCAGTTGGGGCTCCACTGCACGTTAAGCTTTCAGTATTCTCCAAATCTATGGGCTCGAATTGCACAGTAGGGCGAAGTGGAACTTCCCTCGCGCACGTGGGGTTATAATCCACATCCACTGTTTGCTTAAGTTCGTAGGTAACCTCACTGGGCGAATAAGTGTTTGACCCTGTTTGGTAAAGAGTGCAAATGTTCTGCAAAATCTTCTATTCGTTGTATATGACAGGTGCTCTGCTGTGATACCTCCGAAAAAGAAACGAATTTGCAGTATAGATAGTCGTAGCAGATGTTCAAGCATAGGTCCTCACTTTCCACATTTCTTTGATAAAGTAAGAGTCCACTGAAGTTTGTAACTGGCGTGCACGTGACTTCACGATTGGCATAGGTCTGGAAGAACTTTTACAACAATTTGATAAATCTTTTTCACTAAAGCTTCGAATCCGAGATCCTATGACATACCTGAACAAAGAGCAGACATAGTGTGAGAATTCTTACAGTGTAGCTGATTACTCTGAAAATTCTTTTTGGATTCTCTAACAGAATTCACGCTGGAACTGTTTCTAGAGGCAAACAATCGGTAAGTTCGGTAAGCCTTCAATTCAAGATTACAAGTTTCTATTGGTATTTTTGGTATACAAACGATTTGTTTGCTGTGATGAAAAACCACTTCTGCCGCTGTGGAAACCAATTCTTTGTAGACTTGAATGCAACGAAAAAAGTGTGTTTGCTTCTGCTTCTAGCCCTGTTTAGTTTTTGCATGTTTTCAAAAGGAAATCCTTGAATTGAGGTTTTCCTCTTGCACTCTTTCATATAGGAGTCCAAGAGAAACATTTTTGTCGTACCCGGAGGCTAATCTGCAAAATACATAACTAAGCTTCCCAGTAACTCCTGGAGTAGAGGTAATGAGGTTAAAATACGACTAATGGTAGTGGCCGGTGGCCACTATATAGTCTACAAAATTTTTAGTAGAGTTTTTAGGAGTCATTTGTTGTACTATAAGACTTGACCGATTTTGGAAACTCAGTGTCATTTACCGTCCCTCGACAAGTACTTTTTGACTTTTTTGTACATAATAGAAAAATGGCTACAAATTAGGCTTAAGTTAAAGGAAAAAGCTATTTCTGCAGTTTCCATAATGGCACAAAAATCCTTGGAATTTTTCATCATGCTTTCCATGTACTACTGGCTAGTGGCCGTATGGTAAGGTTTTTCAACTACTCACCCATTTTTAGGGATTATAAATGTCGAAGGCAAAGTCTTTGCGTATCTTCTTTTCTGAAGAAAACTTTACGAAACGTGCAATGGCTCTATTGCAAGCTGCTATTTTGACTGATTTTGATGTATTTCGCACTTGAACCTTCTCAATGTGCTCTTTACATTCGATTTATAAATTTGAATTGAAAAGAAGACTGGTTTTCCTGCACCGAGAATTGGTCGGCAGGAAAGCATGCAAGGGATTAGAACTGCGAACATGTGCTTGTTTTGCCTTCCATACAATAATTGCAGCAATAATATTATCTAAAAGATAAGTCTACTTCCGGTTAGACAACAATAATTAATGCCATATAATCCACAACGGTGTTCAGTATTTGCAATTAAGTACGAAAACATACCTTCCGGCAAGCATGGCGAGATATTCGACACCGAGATTTCCTTGGAATGGACTTTTTCGCCTAAATCAAAATCTTGAAGTTTCTATAGAAACTGCAGGCCATATTCTTTTTGTCTTTGATGTTGACACAAACCTGATATATGTAGACTCGCATTCTCATTTGTTTCTCATTGCACATGCCATTTGGTTATGATGTATGAGTCTTTCCATAACAATTCCCGAAAATCGTGTGAATAAGTCCGTTCCTGAAAGCTTGGACCCTGTACCTCAAAATTCATATTTCGAAGAAAAGTGTCAGAAGATAGGGCTTTTACACTTTGTTATAAAGCTTATAAAAACCTCTTTTCAAATTTCTTGTCGTAGATTATCCAAATAATCTACAACCTCTAGCAATGTAGATCTATCATGTATGTTATATTATTCAATAGCATGTCGTTGACAAACGTTACTGTTCACTGACCACTTAAGCCGCCAGGTCACCCCTTCACTGTGCTTGATAGTCTACTTGGCGGCACCTACTTTCATGTAGGCAATCCTTCATACTCTATGATACTGTTGTTTACCAAAAGTGAGCATTTAGGTTATCCACGCCCAAATCAGTGGCATGAAAGGGCCTGAGTGCTTCGACAAGGCAGCCTTCTGAGAATAAAGTACGGCTACCGCAGCTTGAAGTTCCCACGTTTAATGGCAGCTATAAGGAGTACCCAACATTTTGGACAATTTTCAACTCGCTAATTCATAGCAACCCGCTGTTCAGCAACGTGGACAAGTTTTTTTTGAGGCAGGCATCAAAAGGAACACCAGCTTCACTTCTTGGCAATATGCCATTCATCGGAGAGAACTACGGCAAAGCTATACTACTTCTCGATAAGCGTTTCAACAAGTCTGGATGCATAGCAGATCTGCTTATCACAGAGCTCGAAAGGCTTCCACGAGCAGAAGAAGACGCCCAAAGTTGCAGACAAGCTCTGTCTAAAGTGACCGAAAAGCTCACTCACATCGAGTGCAGGAGTACCCTTGGACAACAACCGAATGTGGAGACGACTGATACTTTCGAAGTTTCCAAGCTCGCTGAACGAGAAGGTGCTTCGCAAAGAGCAGAATGAGGAAAAATCATTCACAACTGATGAGATCTTGGACGTGCTTGAAAACGCTGTCGCCTTGAAGGAAACGCTCGCTCTTACAACATCGGCATATGAAGAGTGGCGATGTCGCAAGACGCTCTGTATTAGACCAAGAAGTTGATGAAAATATAAACTATGAAGAAGACTCAATCGCATACACTTCGAAACATCGAAAAGGAGTTACATCGCCGAGAGATTTGAGTGCCCAATGCATTTGCGGAAGTTATCAACATGACGCGACGCGATGCACAACATTCCAAACACCAGCAGAACGACGTGACGAAGCCAGGAAACAAAGGCTGTGCTTCAAATGTCTACAAATCGATCACAGGATCAGTGATTGCACAAGCTCACAGTGATGCTACAAGTGTCACGGAAACCATCACACTGCCGTATGGATGGACAGCTATCCAGCATCTAGAGGCACACCAACCAGGCGATCGCAGCAACGATCTGCTCGCGATCAACATCTCCCAAGGGACTCTGAATTTGCGCAAAATTCTGAAATTCTCCAAAACAAGAGCACGAAGCGAGAAGGAGGAATGCAGCACGTACTGATGACGGTGACTGCTCTCGCGTACGACTACACATCGACCAGCTATAAGCCCGCGACTGTCTTCTTTGATGGAGGTGCACAAAAGAGCTTCATCAATACAAGGAAGACTCAATCTTTTGGCTTACCAGTGCTGCAAAGCACCACTTTCAAAACTGGCGGCTTCGGAGGATCTACCGCAAATTTCACATCCAGTGAAGTCTCACTTACTCTGCGAACAACGTCTGCTGGAGTCGCTGTCAAAGCTGTGAAGATACATACAAAGTCAACAATCACTTCCGCAATGAGCACAGCTTGACTAAGCGCAGAGGATAAAAGGTCGATTCGCACACCGGACATTTTCATTGGTCGAGATCTAATTGATCAATTCATCTTGAGGGATCGACCCTGTACAGTTCTTCCGTCTGGGCTTATTCTCACCCCTACTGTTTTCGGCCATGCAATCTCCGGAAGCAGTCGAATGTACGGAGTCAAAAGGGAGGAGTATTTGCAGAACGCTGCAACCACCATCGCCTCCTACGATCATCCAGTGAATAATGGAAACTCAGTAAAGCAGAAGCCAGCTAAAAACGTCGAACAGACTAGGCGCGCAACTTCCAAACGCCGCGTAAAGCAGCTCGATTGTTTGATGCCAACAAAGACGCTCGTACAACTTGAACAGTTACCAACGGAAAGCGGAAGCGGTCAACGTAACAGTGCTTTTGATGCACTGCAGCTCAATCGCAAACGTCGGAAGTCAAGGACACATGGACAACCTGTGAAGAAGATTACTGATGCTCAACCAGAATGTTTTGCTTCAGCGTCGCGCCTAGCCCCGAAGGCCGACCATGGCACGCTGGTCGACCACCATACGATTCTCAGACGAGGAGAACAAACCTGTCATAGAAATCATGTGATATATGTAACTTAGCTAATATTGTGATGAGATTCTAAATTTGTGTAACGCTTCATGTCACCACTTTGATTTTCTTGCTTTCGCGCCTTCCGTCGCGCGCCCCACTGTCGTAGATTATCCAAATAATCTACAACCTTTAGCAATGTAGATCTATCATGCATGTTATATTATTCAATAGCATGTCGTTGACAAACGTTACTGTTCACTGACCACTTAAGCCGCCAGGTCACCCCTCCACTGTGCTTGATAGTCTACTTGGCGGCGCCTAGTTTCATTTAGGCAATCCTTCATACTCTATGATACTGTTGTTTACCAGAAGTGAGAATTTAGGTTATCCACGCCCAAATCAGTGGCATAAAAGGGCCTGAATGCTTGGTTATGGTGTTGGTTCGATTAATACCACTATCGTCAGCGGCTGTTCCGCATATTCACTGTTGATAGTCAGCGGCTGCTCCGCTACTATCCAATAAACAGTTGACAACGTAGTGGTACCAACTTGGTGTATACCAAAGCTACTTTACTAAAAGACTTAAAGTTTTTTTGGCTTACCACTTCGCAGCTGCGCGAAAACTCAGACAATCGCTTGGGTCGAAAATAGACGTTAGAAAGTGCGAAAACGGGAGAACATGCGTTTTGCACAGCCTTACGGTTATTTGGACGACTGCCAAGGCTGAGACGCAGAGTCGCTACAGGACCGTACGAGTTTGACTGTGGTGGCATGCTCAGACACTCGCGGTTGACTCGCGCAGGGCAAAACGATGTGTCGTCAGCGAATGCCTGGGCGACTCGCGAAATCGGTGTCGCGGCAAAATCAGGACACCTGATTTTGTGTCGCGGCAAAAGTGCGCGACAAAATCGGCGCAAAATGGGGAGACCTGCGCGAAACACCAAAATGTCGCGATCGCGTTCAGAGCACGCGGCCTACGCCCTTACTGACAGCTTTTTGCGTCCTCTAAGCCCTCTCTCACGCCTTCCTTTTGACTTACCTTGAGAGTCCTTGGTCACGTTGGGTCCCGTTTCCCACGCTTGTTTCTTTTCTGCTGATGAAACCCAGTCTTACGTCATAAAATTTATTAGCAAATACCACATGATCTTCTCGAGTAGCGTTTACAATAACATCGAAATGAGACAGGAATCAAAGCACCGCAATCACGACACAGGGTTACGAAAGAACTACGGTTAAGAATGACAATAGCATTAATTTTCTACGACTACTTCATCTTCATCTTCAACGTTTTCAGTCTTCTGGATCGTTACGCCTTCTTTGGTAACACTGCTGCCTTCGACCATGACGCGCTTTTTCTGAAAATAAAAAATTATTGTTACCAGGATCGTATAAAACGAACGAATCACCTTTGGTGGAAGGAGCATGGACCTATCAGGGTCAAAATGATACCTCCGGATGTCTTCCCTGCAAAAATATAGTTCAGAAGTATCGCTTTCCTTATGAGAAAACTCACAAAGCTCTCCCAATTGCTATCCTCGCCTTACCGCTCCATACTACTCTTTCCTCTGAGAGGACGTCGAATAATTTTTCGCGAGCGTCGTCATTTTCGGCTAAGTCCAACCACCTAAATTCTAGTGCACATGAAGGTCTTTCGAGAACATACATACTTATTTGGATTCCGTTTATGCTCATCTGGCGTCCGCAGAGCAGAGTCATGACTCTGCTGCAAAGCAGGAAACAAATAGATGTAAAGGACAGCCCTAAGACGTAAGTTTCCTGACTTTCCGACCGTATTTCTTGATTCTGCTCAAACGCTATGCCCCCCCTCCCCATAAACGAGGTTTGCGGTATATCTGCGAGTTTGACGCCCTAGCGTAATCCTACCGTAACTCCATCAAGTGGCACTACGGTGCGAAAATAAATGCGATGCTCGTCATCAGCGTGCGAAGTGACCCCCTCCCCTCGCTAGACGAACTTTTGACGAAATCCATGGATTTCAGTTTGGGTCAACTAATGTGGAAGAAGGAAGCAAGATTGAAGAAAGAAAATACTTGGTGCCAAAAAATTCTACAAGGGAGGGCCTCCGGTCAAAGTTAAAGAATATTTTTAACAAGACGGACATTTATCTAATGATTTGCATAAACTGTTTCTTTTGATTACGTATAGTCGAGTAGATTTTCCGCTCAAAATAGTGTGCTTGCGGGCTTAGAAAATGGGTAAAATTAGAGTGTGAACAAATGGCCACGTCCATGCCTCCAGACGATCTTTGCCGGGGGCCCTGGCCACGTCATTTGTTCACGCGCTGCCGACATTTTGCGCGCGCAAATGGCCGGCGTCGCAGGCGCAGGCTATCCGTTCACGCGCGAATTTTGCCGCAATCCGGCATCGCAAGCTATATTGAGCAGAAAATCTACTCGACTGTAACACTCCGACGTTCTTCTCCACTTCAGATTCATTTCAAGTTCGATAAGGAAAAGCAGATAACAAGATGCTTTGATAATTGTACAGTCTGCATCAATCCTAACCAGGCCAAAATCGGCATAGCGGGAGTCCGCGCCGCGAGGGTTTCGCGTCACATCTGCGGCTAGCTAGTCTGCTCTCTCCTCGATCTCTTCACTCTCTGCGACAGCGTGCGTATGCAGCGCAATCCCCTAGCGCTGCGAGCGCGCAAATTCAGCCGACGGTTCGGCCTGATCCCGATTGGGGCAGACTGTATATCCATCGTTCACGGTCCTGCTCGATGGTTGTTTCAAAATCTCGAAAATTATGGTAGCTCACACTGCTTTTCTTGTTCATAACAATCCTGGAAGTACGCGAGGAGCTAGCATACTCAATGAGCCTCCTTATGTTCTTTGCTGCGTGAGCCATAAGGGTTCCTTCATACTACGCCGCGCACGCCACGTACGCCGCGTACGCCGCTGCAGCGCAACGGAAATATGCTCACGGCAGCAGAGCTCCACTTTTTTTATGTATCTCTATAATTGCTTATTATTACGAGCGTCATTTCATCATTTATTTCTGTACAGCTTTGACCCCAGTTACGTTAACATTGTGAACTGTGAAGTCAGCGCCGAACCTTGAATGGTGTTTTGTGCGCGAAGAAAACAAACTGCGGCGACAACGGCGCATCAAATTTGCAATCGCAGTCTAACAGTATAAAGAAGGGAAATCCTTCTCATCCAGTGATGTGTTTGTAAGAGATGAACAGCGCAAATATACAACCAGATACAACGTAAAACCATACAACCATATACTACCAATATACAACCAGATGACGAAATGTGCAGTCAGTTACGATCAAAATGTGAAACTCGAAAGTAGGGGGAGCACAACAACCCAACATTCCATCAATCATTGATATAGACAAAGGATAGACAGGATAACAAAGCAAAAGAGAGGAAGAAATGCATAATGTGAAGAAACACTATTGAGGGACACGAATGTGCAGCAAATATAGAGATACAACGAAAAAAGTGGAGCTCTGCTGCCGTGAGCATATTTCCATTGCGTTGCAGCGGCGTACGCAGCGTGCGCGGCGTAGTATGGAGGAACCCTAAAACCTCCAAGTCCCAGGTTTGATATGTATGGCAGCTCTGAAAAGATACAGACAGCCGGCGACGGAAATCGTACTGCGCATGGGTCCCGCCACGAGCCGCGACGCGCAATTATGCGGATTCACAGGCCTCCTCCTCCGTTGCCGGTCCCCAAAAGGACTTACACTCGAGTTACGGTTCAAAATCTAATTTTAGAAAAATCGCTGTAGAGGGGTTTTTTAGTAATCTCAAAATCTGTACTTGACATTCCCAACACAATTATCGTTACGAAATTGCAAAATCCCACCGCCATCTTTCGCGGGTCGTGGTTCGAATCTGACTCATTATTCATTCTATGACTAGGAGACGCGAGACCGCATTGCACATCTTATCTAAACAGGCTTAATCGTGAACTCAGCAGGTTTATACTTGTCATTTATCTCGTTTAGGTTTATTCACTCTTTGGAAACAAGGAAGAACAAACTCAAACATGTCAAGACAATGTCCGCAATGCGGTCAGGCGTCTCCTATTCATAGAATAGATGATAATTTAGTCTGCAGGTTTCATCAACATGCGAGTTACGACGTATCAGTAACGCCCAAAGAAGTTGATTTGGCGTCGAGTATTTACTACCATCGAGTTGTTGACCGCACATTGACCGTAGATTGCGGAACAGGCGGCACGCGGCTAAGGCTTCATTAGGGATCGTTTAGACCGCGCACAAAGGCGCACATAGGCGCACGAAGACACACAAAGGCGCACGAAGGCGCGTTTCGTCTCGTTTATCTCAAAAACACACACGTGCGCCTTCGTGCGCCTTCGTGCGCCTTCGTGCGCCTTCATGCGCCTTCATGCGCCTTCGTGCGCTTTGTGCGCCTTTGTGCGCCTTTGTGCGCGGTCTGAACGATCCCTTACAAAGCGCTTTCGTACAAGTCTGTTGTGACTAGCCGCCACGCGTGCTCTGGCCGCTACAATCTGCGCCAATCTAAATCAGGCCGAACCGTTGGCTGAATTTGCGCTCCCGCAGCGGTAAGGGTTTGCGCTGCATACGCGCGCTGTCGCAGAAAGCAAAGAAATTGAGGAGAGAGCAGACTAGCTAGCCGTGACGAAGTATGTAGGTACCCTCGCGACACGGTCTCCCGCCATGCCGACTTGGCCTGGTTGGGATTGGAGGAGCAGGCTGTACGGTCAGTCCGTGCGGTCGACGACTAGCGAGATATTTTCAATTAGATCGCGTCGCCAAAAAAAAACGATTTAGCACTCAGCCAGTCCAGATGCTCCAGAAAAGAAAATTGATACACTCAATGGAAGCAAATTGATATACTCAACATCTACCCAACAAATCATCATCCACTCAGTAGCTTTGTGAAGAACATGTAGTATAATGCTACTTAAGTGTCTTGTGCAAGTCAATACTGACCTGGTTGAGGTAGAAAAACGATACCTTCGTAATTGTCAGCACCTGAGCTTGAGCTGGTAGTTGGCACAAGGTGTAAGTGAGCATGGTGACAACAGATACTACATCGATTCTCAGATTTGATCCATTATATTGGTTTCATCAATTTTGCCAAAAAAGTAAGGGGGGGGGGAGGAGGCAGGAAGGTGAGCATGCTGTTAACGAATTCAACAATTTTTTAAAATATACCCAGCATTTCCAACGACATCTGTTTTGTGCTAACTTTGATTTACAGGGCTGGGAGTTGGCATGTGCGAGCGTAAATGAGCCTTTTGATCACAAAACACGGGATTGACAAATAATCTTTGGATCTTAGCTATTTTTTGTTTGATGTAAATGACACAGAAGTTTGGTGATATTTTTGTTGGTGGACTTATCTTTCCGTTATCTAGAAGCTGCAAAAATGCACTCTCGTGATCACCCTCATTTTCTTCTATTATATATCCTAGCAGCTCATCCTCAGAAGTAGTGATCGGTGGTACAAATCAAAAAAAAAAGAATTCATATACTCTTTGTCTCATTAGGAATGGGAGAGGGGATCTCGCACGACTCAACTCCCGCGAGCTCTGCACCTCTTTAGCGAGCGTGCTCTTCAATAATTTTTCCACGCTTAATTAGAGATTGAAGCTTGGGCTTTTTCCCTTCAGGCGTGGAAAAATAATCAGAAAGCACCCTCAAGAAAAGGGGGCGATTTCGCGGAGCCCTAGTCGCACGAGCCCCCATCACTCCCAATAAGATCGAGGATGGGGGGAGGGGGGGGGGGGAGGGGGAGGGGGAGGGAGGGAGTTTGTGTGTGCTTGTGTGTGCTCACCGGAAATGTTTATAATGCATCTAGTGTATCGTGGAACAAATTTTTCTAATTTTTCATTTTTTCCCTTTGCTATGTTGGGGTTGAACACATCTTGGCTAACTGAAATTAATCAAAATCTCTTATTTGCACTCAATAATTCTATTTTTAGTGGAGATGAGTTATCCAGCCAAAATACTCTTGATCAAGTTGGTAAAGCAACATGAAGAACTCTGGAATTCGAGATCGCCTCATTACTCACGAGCAGACATCAAAAAGCAGGCTTGGGAAGAAATTTCTGCAAGAATGGCAGCAAACGGCTTCGAGTCTGTCGAAGTCGAATAGTAAGAGAAACACTATTTTCCATCGCTTGCCTTGACTGATTAATATGCATTTAGGTTGGAAGGCTGAGAGTTATATGGAAGAGTCTTCGTGATCAGTGGAAAAGAAATCTCAGTTTGAAGGCGCAAGCGCCCCCGGAAAAGGAATGGTATTTTCAGCGAAGAATCAACTTTCTAGCGGAAACCTATGACGATAGGTGAGGGCAGAATAGATTTGGAGGAGGAATTGGTTTTGCGGAACTTGAATCTTATCTGTCTGGGCGACCATATTCTAAGTATATAAAAGAAATTTCTCTCAAGAATTGGTTTGTTGAGACTCTTCGCGTTTCACCTTGGTCACTGATCTAGCTATCGTGCAGTGTGTACATGGGAGAGAATTGCAGTTAGCTCATTATTCTTTGAATGTAAATGTAGAAAGTTCTCAGGCCAGGAATTTTTCTCATTTTAGCGAGAAGGAATTGTCACGGTCAACTACAATTTAGTGTGGCGCTTCCACATGTTATTATCAGCTTGAGGAAATTGAAGAGGGCGAACCACTACAGCTGTTTGCAGACTTGCATCCTCTTCATATTAGAATAGTCCAATGATTCTGGAACAGTTGGCTAAATGAAGAGTTTCTTGGTCCAAATGATCCAGGCAATCTCTATGAATTACGTCTCTAAAAAGACCTTCAATTTGATTACCAGAATCTCTTTAGATCAGGGCTTTTTCTGAGCCAAAATTTAGCTGTTTGTAGGCTGTATGAGGAAATTTTTTCTACATATTCTGCTCTAGCTTACTATATAAATATGAAAGACTGGCTCCGCGTTATGGATAAAAAACTTTGTACCTTGCCTGCCTTTCTAATCTAGAGAGAAACGTATGGAAGAGAGAAAAAACAAACTTCTTATTACAGCGGACGTGGAGGATTGATATACTGCAGTCATAATGATGATAATGATGACGATTCACCGGATATGTGCAAAGCGCCCAATGATTCCTTATATAGCGTTGAACCGGACGTTTACGATAGCCTGGAAAAAGACTATGCTACAGAAGGAAGCTTACTTCTTGGTAGCTATCACCAAAACAATTCATCGGCACCAAACGTCGAGCCAAAAATAGAAAAGCAAGATGATGGGCTTGTTTGCGGTGAAACCTTGCTGACTGTCATGGAAGAGCAAGTGAATGGAGGAGGATCGTCTAGTCATCTAGTAAACCCGGCGAGACCAACTACTTCCTCTCCGGACTCCGGACGGCGCGTGAAACGCTCACGAAAGGAGATGATAAGCGAAGGTTAGTCGTCTTTTTTGTGTTTTTTCATACCATTCACCACTAATTCATAGAGCAGGCATTTCTTTACATTTTTCATATTTTTTTAAACACAAATATACTTGCAGTCCCCACTGACTCAAAGATCCAGGAAGATTCCAGTTCAAATGGTAATTTTTCTTGAATTTGTTTTTCTACCAAATTGCTATTCTCAAGATTAACTCTTTCCTGTCACCATAATCTTGCTTTTGCGCTTGTTAATGAAAGCTTGTTTACTCTGTATAAATTCTGGCTGTAGAGATAGACATGGAAAAAGGAGATTTTTGAGGTTTGGTAAGTCGGTTCAGTTCCGTCAAAAATCTAGAATATTTGAAGAATTGGAAGAGTCTAGAAATGAGGTTTCTCCTCCTCTTTCTAATTAGGCGGCACAAAATGTGAATTAATCTCATTGGAGTTCTTGTCGAAAGTTGCAGCTTTTCAAAGAAGAGCTCGATCTCCACAAATTTTGCTCATTTAGTAAGAGAATGTCAGAAAACTTATGGCACTGACTGTTAAGGTTTATGCAGGACTTTTGATTTTCAACGGAATCGCCTCAAATCACCGAACTTCATAAATCTCTTTTTTTCACAGATCAAGAAGCCATTAAAAACCCATGATTTACTCTTTCCAATAAGTTTGAAGCCAGGCAATATCATTCTAATAAGAGAAAGTTACAATTTTTGAAAATGTTGCGAGGAAATTTCTCTTCAACCTAATATTCCTGGGATCTGGCTCCTCTCCGAGAAATACTGAGAGAAATTTTAGTGCAGTTGTCACCACCTGCGTCTTCGAAAGAGCCGGATAATGGTGTCAGTCAGCAGACTGAAAACAAGTCAGAAAGTAAAGGAGACAAATTTGATAAATATGGTGAGTTTGCGCAAGGCTTCTCGGTGATTTTTTACCCATGCTGTTTTCAAAATTGTTGACTAAACACATTTCTATTTAGCTGCCTTTGTCGCGTCAACGTTGAGAGAAATGCCCGAAGCTGAAGCCAGAAGGCGCATGAAAGAGATGACTTTGCTTCTTCTAGAGGGCTTGGACTGACATATCAACTCATGGAACCTATCTTTTTGTCTCATATCATTACCGGTGATTTGTGTGTGTGAATATTTCTGTTCTAGCATCCAGTACTGAATTGTTTCATCGCTTATTCCAAATGACGAAGGAATCAAATAAAGAGTAACACACGTTGTTTTTGCAATTCGTCGAAAGGTATAATTCGTAAATTCTCGGGGAACACAATTCGGAGTGGGGCACTAATTTCCAAACATGGGACAAAGCAGATAAATATTAATTTCGAATAGTGACAGCGAAGTCAGCCTGTCGTCAAAAGTGAAATGGGGACCTAACTTTCTTACCCGAGCCATAATCTCGCACTTATGTGCCTGCCAGGCACGTTCGGACTCGCTGTAAGTACTAAACCTTGACTCAACGGGATTGGCGGGTGGAAGGCGGGGCTTCGAGGCTTAATCAAGGCTAGAGGATGATCAGAGAGCACTCTCGCGAGAGAGACGTAGAGATTTGCGGACGTGAGCGGTCACTTTGCAGCCGCCAATCTCGTTGAATCAAAGCGTGGCTTCTCACGATACCACGACATTGCAAGCCCGCCCACTGAAGCAACTATCTTGGCACCCAGCAGAAAATGCTTGAAATTTGATGATCTGTCTTATTGCCAAAAACTTCACATTAGACCTACAAAGCTCGGAATGGTGCCAAATAGAGAAAAGATTATAAGATGATTAGATTATCAAGGAAATTCTCGATATTCAATGTTCGTGGAAAAGTGGCGGAAAATAGAGGAGAAGCTCAACAAACGATTAGATGAAAAACGCTATTACCTTGGAATGTTCAGATTCTGCAAGATGTTTGATATGCTACTCCATTCAAATAACAGAGCTTCGAATCTTTTGACAAAAGTGAAGTTTTCACATCGCATCTCCGTCGCAAAGGTACAACTGGATATTTGAAATTAATCTAAACCTGAATACAAAAGTGTTGTCAAATCCTCAAAGTAGACGGAGGCAAAGCTCGACTCAGTGATTTTTGCAGCAAAATGCGCAGTTCATATTCTTGCATGTCTAAGACCTTTTTGAAAAGGGCAATTCATGCGCTTTCTAGAAGCATCTTGGCTGCTATGTAATAAGCTCTGAATGCAGAGATAAAATTGGCGGAAAGAAATCACCTCAAGTTCGGAATTTTTAAGCAAACCCGTTGAAAAATCTAAAACTGTGCCATAAAATCCAAAACAGCCAGTAACCTAGTTTTCTGATCTCCTCTTTCTATATGAGCAAAATTCGCGCTGATGGAGCTCTTCCTAGAAAAGTTATGATTTTCAAGAAAAAGTGCCAAAAAATCAGTCTCTTAAGAAAATCGATTTTTTGACATTTTCTTCAAAAAATCATAACTTTCAAAATAACAGCTCGATCAGCGTAAATTTCGCTCAGCTAGCAAGAAAGATTCAAAGAGTCTAGGATAAGGCTGTTTTGGATTTTATGGCACAGTTTTAGATTTTTTAACGGGTTTGCTTAAAAATTCCAAACTTGAAGCGATTTCCTTTCCCCAATTTTATCTCTGCATTCAGACATAATGAATAGCAGCCAAGGTAATTTTAGAAAGCACATGAATTGCTCTTTTCAATATGTTTTTATCCATGCAAAAACATCATGCTAGGAGGAAGTTATGATTTTTTGAAAATGATGGGACAGAACTTTCGGACCAACCTAATATTAAGTTGAACCGAAGGTTCTGTCGCGCCATATTTAAAAAATCATAACTTTTTTCCCTCACAATGATTTTGCGCAGTTCAAATTTTGTCGCAAAGCGTAAAGCATGTAGTTTCCAGGGGTCCCTTACTTTCCAATATGCTCAGCTTGCAGAGATAAAAATGAAAGAACGAGATCATCCGAAATTCGAAATTCTTAAGCAAGAATTCTAGAAATGCAGAAACTGTGCGATAAAATCCAGAATAGCTGTCATCCTAAGTTCTCTTATATTTTGTTACTAAATGAGTCAAGTTTGTGCTGATCGAGGTCTTCTTTCAAAAGTTATGATTTTTTGAAAAAAAATGCAAAAAAATCAATTTCCTAGGAATTCATAAGAAATTGTTTTTTCCGCATTTTTTTCAAAAAACCATAACTTTTTAATGAAGAGCTCGATCAGCACAAACTTATCTCAGTTAGTGATAAAATATAAGAAAACTTAGGATGATGGCTGTTCTGGATTTTATCGCACAGTTCCTAATTAGAATTTTTGCTTAAAAATTCCGAATTTCGGATCTTCTCGTTCTTTCATTTTTATCTCTGCAAGCTAAACATTCGAAAGTACCCAGGGGAACTGGAAACTACATGCTTTACTCTTTCTAATAAAATTTAAATTGCGCAAAATCGTTATGATGCAAAGAACTTATGATTTTTTGAAAATGGTGCGAACGAACTTTCGGTTCAACCTAATACATAGGTATCTTGAAATATATTATATATGAATGATGAATAAAGCTCTGAATCTGCTTGCTAACTGGTTAAAAGATATGGATCATGTAATAACACAAAAGAACCTCTGCACGCCTACAGCTGTTTTGCCTGAAGGAAGTGGTTACGGAGCCATATTTTCGAAACTGCTTTTAGGAAAAAATTTGCTCAAAACATCTAATTTCTGCATTTGACATTTCTATTCTAGAGAAATAACCCGGTTTTTGTTAGAAAAACGTCCTTTTGTAATTTTTTAAAAATTTGATTCGCCATCAGCATACAAAACAAAATTCACCGTTAAAAAAGCGATCTCGAGTACCCGTGAACCTGCATTTTGTTCTCGATTTGAAAAAGCAATCTCGAACCTTGAAATTGTTTTTCATCTCCATTGGGCATTATCGGTGCTAAACTTGTATTTGCAATTTTTTCCCGAAATTTGGTCTTGATTTCTAAGGATTTTTAGGATTGGTCTTAAGCGATACTGGATAAAGGGTGGGCTTGCTATGTCTTGATATCCTGGAGCGCTCGTAATTATAGCGAGTCCGACTGTGCCTCACAGGCAATTACCTAGGCTTCAGAGTATGGCTTGGATGTGGACGAGCAAATTTTTAGCTCAACCTCAAGCCCCTAAAAATGATAGTTTCACAAGCCATCTCTGAAAGATTCTAACAAAAAGGAACTCGATAATCTCCGTAACACAACCTATCAAAAACTGATGCTGGTTTCTCATGACTTTGAGTTCACTGTTTAAGCAAATTCTGGAACCCGAGATTTTTATGTGGAAGTTGATTAATCGGCTTCGACTAAGCCATTATACAAAGATTAGTTAGTTCAATCATTTTCCGCAATTCAGTTGAGTGTGAAAGGGTTTATATAGGATGTTCAAACATGGGTGCTAAGGGGAGCAGGTTCTTTCCAGATGAAGGGGTTTCACCCAGTTCCAGCAATGAAAAGTGAAGGGGATAGAGCCTCTAGGTGAATGCTACGTAAGCTTACATGTCGATCGGAATGGAGTGAAAAGAAGGAGATTAAAGGCACTGTCCCACTAGGCTGGGGTATCTGGCTCTCGTAATAATGTAATTGTAGACCCCCTACCTAAGCGATGACTGAAGTTCGGAGGTCGGTTTACCAAACCTGAAATTTGCTCCGAAAGTGGCCCGAATCTTACGGTAGGCCCGAATGCTGCCCGCACAGCAAATCGATTTGCAAGGCCAGAGTGCGTATAGCGCACACAGTCATGAGCGTAGGGTCTCGCAGCGACCTGCGTCTATATCTTTCATCCATCTCGCACTCACCCGAGCCTACCGTAAGATTCGGGCCACTTGAGGGGCGATTTGTAGACTTCTAGACCCCCTTTCGCGCTGCAAACTTCTGCCGTCGCTTAGGGTGGGGGTCTACTATTACATTACTACCAGAGCCAGATACCTCCAGTCTGGTGGGACACTGCCTTTAGGTGGTACAGAGGTATCATATGAAAAATTTTCAAAGGCTTTGCCTTTGAGAGCTCATCGAACAAAAACTTTTTTGATGCAGGGAAGTCGTATCAATCAGCCACCATTAGAAGACTTAGACAATGTAGAATCGATGCAGACTGTCTCTTTTTTCCAGCCGTCCTGAGAACACACATATGAGAAATTTTATTCAGCTACAACGTCAGCTACTTTCATGCGATGAATTTTAGCTCCATCTCTAAAAGGAAAAAGAGAAGCTCTATGTTTACTGACAAAGTCTTGCTCTTTAACACATTGGCGACCGCTTGACACACATATTGTGTCAAGGCTTGAACTTCATGAAAATGACGACTATTTTAGTACAAACTCATTCCAGAAGTTTTCTTTGGCTGTGAATCTAGAAGTAACCTCTATTATATTTGTCAGCCTTCAACAAGCACTGTAGGTATACTGAAAATGGCAGTATGCGTGATTTTATCCGAAAAATGCTGGTTAGTCCGTGAAAGTTCTTGGTCCCAAGAGGTAGACAATAAAAAATTTGTGTTGTCGTCAATGTGTTAACATAGTCAGACAATTAGGCATTGGCATTCATTCTTTGCGTATCTCCTCACAAAGTACACAAGTTTTCAGCCTAGGTGTCATGTATATCCGGGTAGATGGAAGCTAAAAAAAATAACCCTCTTTTTCTTTCATCTCTTCAATGGAAGAAGATATGGTCAGATTCTTGTCATTGAACAGCCGTCACTGGCCAGACCGAACGTCCTACTCTGCCGTACTTTTTTCCTGCGACAATATGTACAGGCGATTCAAAACAAGCAAAGACTGCGGACTTATCGACGTCCACTGATCCAGTGCTCTTTCTTTCTCTTACCGTCTGCTGCCTCTCCCAGGCACGTACTATCTTGGCCGGACGCAACGGCGCCCAGTCTTTGCGTGTCATGAATCGTGTATATTTGATCAATGTTGCTTACCAGATAATCAGGCATACTCTCAGTCTTCGAGTATATTTCGTTATCAAAACGCGATCTGAATAGACAGGAAATCACAAGCGTTCGTTTCTCTTAGCAAACGCATGAAAACTGTTGTCATTCACTGATTGAGAAAAAGGAGCAGCCGGCGTTCCCAAACAAAATGTGCACCATTTATCGTAGGCGTTTTATTCTGCCGTTATGCCTTAACCTTAGTCTCAACCTCAGTTGAGGGGGTCATTCAGATGCCTGCCCAAAAGTGAAGAGGACAGAGGGTTCCATCTGTCGCGCCAGACGAGACCTATGCATATCAAATTCTCTCGATTTAGCCTTTTTAAGCTCCTATCTACGAAGTGCGAATTACCAAGAAAGAAGCTCATAAAGATCTCGCATTGCGCATGTCAAATGCAGGATTCTCCAATCTACTTGATTGTCTCCCCTTCTGTTTAAAATATGGTTTTTGAGTACATATCAAAAGGCCGGAACAACAATGGTTTGTAGAGAATCCACAATGTATGTCTTCGACCCCAGACCGAAAGGTTCAGACTCTGTTTCTGATATAGACCTTGGGATGGCAGTGTCGAAATCAGGCTTACAAAGAAAGGAGATCGAAGTGGCCTTTTGTGACGGGATGTATCTTGGAGAGCATAAAAGTTTATTCCAAATCTGTCTTTCTGCGGAATGTTCCTGCACGGAAGTTGGCGTTCATTCGAGAAAAATTCTAATGTATTTTTCTAGCGCTCGCTAACAGTGTTTATAATAGGAGTAAATACACAACATAGACCAAGTTTGTGATTAGTGGGTAGCCAAGAAGTGGTCGCTTTGACAGCTTATTTGTCCCAATCGCAAACATAACTTTGGTACTTCAAATAAAATCTCACACTTTTGCGAAGCGGTATTTTCATTGATTTTTAAGAAAGTTTCTAGAAAAAAAGGCGGTCACTCTTAAAAGGCAGTCAAAATACTGACAGCAGGGCTCGGCACGAGCTGGCACCAGGGAAATTTCAGAACGAAGTCCCGTTTGACATTGAAAATTTCGTACGAAGTTCCTTTTGACCTGTTTTGAAAGTCCGTCATCAGTTTTATATTATGTAAAAAAAATGTAGTAGTGTTTTCATGCATTTCTGATTTCATGAAAGAACTTTTCACAGCCTTCTGAGCTATTTAAGTGGTCGAATTACATCTTGAGAAGCAGAAAAAACCGATTTCTCGACTGCGGAGCGGACCGAGTGGTTTTTAAATTGCTATAGAACGCTGAAAAGAGAACATTATGAAACTGTTTCTTTTCCGTATGTAATCTTTTACAGTGTAGATACAGTCGAGTAGATTTAGCGGTAAATATAGTGTGCTTGCACAGAAGGTGAAATGCGGTGGATTTGGCGCGTGAAGAAATAGTTTCGACTGTGGCGCCGGCCAATTGCGCGCGCAAGATACCCGCTGTACTGACGTGGCTACTTGTTCACGCGCAAATTTCACCGCATTTCACCTTCTGTGCAAGCACACTATATTTACCGCTAAATCTACTCGACTGTACATTTTATGTAAAAAAGTATGAAAACTTATGTGAGCAAAGTGTCGGTGCCAGCTCAGCTGGCACCCAGCTGTCACGGTGCCAGCTAATTCAGAAAAAAGTTGAGCACAGCTTTCATTCACATAAGTTTTCATAAATTTTTGGCCCGTAGTTCCGGTCCGCCAACGCGCATGCACACACCAAATTTGGTGTCATACTATTGGGTTTTGGCTGAAAACAACGCCTTTGTTTGTGGATGGACAGCCTGCCAATGGCATGCCGGTGGCATGCCGGCGGCATTTTTGCGGCAGTTTTCCGCCTCGGCCCCTGTAGAAACGACGTCCCCTTTGCTTTCCGCCCTAAAAACGATATCCAGCTTGACCCGGTGCCAGCTGTGCTGAGCCCTGACAAGGAAATACTGTATGACAACACGTCTTTGTCAACTTACAGTAAGAAACAGTGATTTTATCGGGAAGAAGGCATAAAAATCTGATTACTAGAACGCGAAGATGTAAAGCCTGCTTGATAGGTTTCCTACTTTCTTCGAGAGGGTTCGTGCATGCTGTTTTGATAAATTTTTTGTGCTGTACAGGTAATTATCGGTAACACTTTATTGCCTACAGTTTTGGCACAACGCCGTTGGAAGCCCAGAAGAGTCAGTTCGATTCACGATCTTGAAATCAATTATCATAAGTGCCAGATATGAAAGGAAGACATATGACATATGTTTTAATCATGAAAGTGTTGACTTCAACAAATTGCACACTATTGCATAAGCAGCCCTCAAACTAACCACTGGGCATCAACTATGAAGAATTGCTGTTGTTCATTTAGCAAGTTACAATAGCGCATGATAGAGTGCAAGGAATTGACATAAGCATATCCATGACCTTTCCAGTAGTATTCGTCAATGGCGATGTCTCCACAGCAAGCTCCATTACAAGTGCACTTCCCAGCGAAAGCATAGGCGTTCAGGAAGTGGTATCCGCTGACGTTAAAGGCAGTCCCGAAATACAGTCGGCTGCTGCCTAAAGAAAGAAAGTGGAACTTTTGAGTTAGTTTTTCTTTCTTGTTTCTATTAAGCCTTACAAACGCCACACATTATGTGTGTGACCTAGCTGACTACCACTTATGTATCTGACAGTGACGCTCGCAAGATCCCGTCTTGAAGGGGGGGGGGGGGGGAAGGGGGCGGGGCAAAATTGTTTTTCAATGAAAGTGCATGGCGTTAGGAACGCATTCCGAAATTTTTTGGAGTACTTCTCAAAATTTTTTGGGGTCCATAACCCCTAAAGTCCAGAAAAAGAGGACGTGGCGGTAGCCGCGCCTCAGAATAGAATTTTTTTTACAAGGTTTGAGTCTTTGAAAATTGAAATTATTTTGATCATTCACAAGAATAAACAAGTCATTTGCAAGCAAAATTTGAAAGCATTTGCGAACAGCACTGCAGGAACTCACTTGGTCCAGTAAAGACGGGTACCGAATCGCAGTGTGGCTGCGAAGTCCTCGCAAAATCAAGTCTGAACAAATTCATAAGTCTCTTAGGAACTCTCAATAAGCTCATAGTCCTCAGCTGTCATTTATCATCGTCGCAGTACCTTTTAGCTACTTTGAAGTCCTCCAATTTGGTGTTAGCGAACAGCGTGAAATCTCTATCTGTGAAGTACATGTAGATAGTAGTCACGTCAGATGGGGCTCCACTGCACGTTATGCTTTCAGTATTCTGCACATCTATGGGCTCGAATCGCACAGTAGGGCGAAGTGGAACTTCCCTCGCGCATGTGGGGTTATAATCCAAATCCGCTGTATGCTTAAGTTCGTAGGTAACCTCATTGAGCGAATAAGTGTTCGATCCCATTTGATAGAGAGTGCAGATGTCCTGTAACATCTTCTATCCGTTTTATATAACGAGCGCCCTGCTGCGATACCTCCGAGAAAGAAACGAATTTGCAGTATAGACAGTCGTAGCAGATGTTCAAGCATAAGTCCTCACTTTCCACATTTCTTTGATAAAGTATGCGTCCACTGAAGTTGGTAATTGGCGTGTACGTGATTTCACGATTGGCGTAGGTCTGGAAAACTTCGACAACAATTCGTAAATCTTTTCATTAAAGCTTCGAATCCTAGATCCTATGACATACCTGAACAAAGAGTAGACATAGCGTGAGAAGTCTTACACTGTGACTGGATACTCTGAAAATTCTTTTTTGGATTTTCTAATAGAATTCACGCTGAAACTGTTTCTAGAGGCAAACATTCGATAAGCCGTATTCAACTCAAAATTACAAGTTTCTATCGGTATGTTTAGTATACAAATGATTTTTTGCTCTGATGAAAAACCACTTCTGCCATTGTGGGAACGAGTTCTTTGCAGACTTGAATGCAACAAAAAAGTGTGCTCGCTTTTGCTTCTAGCCCTGTTTAGTTTTTGCAGTTTTCAAAATGAAATCCTTGAATTAAAGTTTTCCTCTTGCATTTTTTCATATAAAAGACTCCAAGAGAAACATTTTTTTGCCGTGTACGGAGGGTAATTTGCAAAATACATAACTGAGCTTTCCTAGTAATTTCTGGAGTAGAGGTAATAAAGTTGATATACGACTAAAGGTGGTGGCCAGTGGCCACTAGTGTATAGTGGCCAGTGGCCACTATACATAGCCTGCAAAATATTTAGTAGAATTTTTTAGAATATTTCGTATTATAAGGCTTGAGCCATTTTGAAAACTAAGTGCCTTTAAAGGCAGTGTCCGGGCAAAAACTTGATTTTGAGATTTTGTGCTTATCCGGGCCTATTCGCTATGCTGAATCCGAAAATCTACCTTGGAAAGCGCGAAAACAACGAAAAAGGGCTCTAACACTGAAGGGAAATCAGCAGGTGGGCGGGGTCTTCCCCACTGTGAATTCACGCTCCCAGCTTCGGGGCGATCTTTTTGATTCCGGTTTCAAGTCATTCGTTTGCACTTGATCGGTACTGATGTCAGAACGGCTAACGGATTCGAGAAAGTTGCTCTGGAAGCTGGAAGCGTGAATTCACGGTGGGGAAGACCCCGCCCACTTGCTGATTTCCCTCCAGCGTTAGAGCCCTTTTTCGTCGTTTTCGCGCTTTCCAATGTGAATTTTCGGATTCAGCATAGCGAATAGGCCCGGATAAGCACAAAATCTCAAAATCAAGTTCTTGCCCGGACACTGCCTTTAAACCGTCCAGCGACAAGTACTTTTTGACTTTTTCGTAAATAATAAAAAAAGGCTAAATTAGGCTTAATCCACAGAAACCTATTTTTGCAATTCCCATAATTGCACAAAAATTCTAAGAATTTTTCATCATGCTTTTCATGTATTACTGGCCAGTAGCTGCATGGTAAGGTGTTTTCAACTACTCACCCAATTTCAGGGATTATAAAAAGTCGGAGTTCAAGTCTTTGAGGATATTCTTTTCTAAAGAAAACTTTACGAAACGTGCATTGGCTCTGTTCCAACCTGCTACGACTTGACTGATTTTGATGTAATTCGCATTGGAACCTTCTCAATGTGCTCTTTACATTCGATTATTTATAAGTTTGCATTGTAAAGAAGGGCTCTTCCTGCAGCCGAGAAATAGTCGGCAAGAGAGCCTATAAGAGATTAGAACTGCGAGCATGTTCTTGTCCTTGTCTTTCATAGAATAGTTGCAGCAATAATATTATCTAAAACAAGTTTAATTCCAATTAGGCAATATTAATGTATTCCATAGAGTCCACAGCAGTGTTCAATACTCATTATTATGTACGAAAACATACCTTCCGGCAAGCATGGCGAGATATTCGACACTGAGATTTTCTCGAAATGGACTTTTTTGCCTAGACCAAAATCTTGGAGTTTCTATAGAAACTGCGGGACATATTCTTCTTGTCTTTGACATTGACCCATATCTGATTTATGTAGACTCATTTGTTCATGCATTCTCATTTCTTTGTCACTGCACATGACATTTGGTTATGATGTATGAGTCTTTCCATACCAATTCTCGAAAAATCGTGTGAATAAGCCCGTTTTTGAAAGCTTGGACCCTGTACCTCAAAATTCATATTTCGAAGAAAAATGTCAGAAAATAGGGTTTTTATACATTGATATGAAGCTTATAAAAACCTCTTCTCAAATCTCCAGCTACTTTACTACAAGACTCAAAGTTTTTTCCACTTCGCAGCTGCGCGAAAACTCTTCCAGTTGTTCAGATCGAAAACTAGACGCTAGAAAGTGCAGAAACGGGAGAACATGCAGTTTGGACAGCCTTACTATTATTTGGACGATTTCTGCCAAGGCTGAGATGCAGAGTTGCTACAGGACCGTACGAGTTTAACTGTGGCGACATGACTTCGCTACAGAGCAGGAAATCAAACAGGTAGAGACACCCGCCCTAAGATGTAAGTTTCCCAACCGACCGTATCTCTTGTTTCTGATCAAACGCTATGGCCTCACCCTTGAGATGGCGGTCTTCGAGACTCACATCCGAGGTTCCCATTTTCAACGTTTTTAACTTTACAATAGTAAGCGAAATCCTGCGGAACCGCTGCAAATTTTGGCTTGTCCTGAGAAAGTTCCGGTGAAAGTCTGAGATTGTGTACATACTTCGGAATTCCACCGACGAAAGTCCATGAATATTTTTTGCCAGGAACTCTTTAGAGATTACGAGTTTGAATTGGCTTTTCTGAGAAACGAAATTTATCCGTAATTGTGTTCAATTCTTTAGGAAGGTGACAACAACGAAACTTAGCCTGACTAAGAAAAAGTTGGTGACGGCACCGAAACGTTAGTCTGACTAATAAAGAATGTTACTAATCTTGGTTATTGACTCGTGAAGATAAACACTACCAAAAAAATTTACTCCATTTTGAGATTTCTTTTGCAGGCCTGCATGATCGCGAGAGTCGGACGTGCGTACTGCGTGTGCATTACGTGCACGCTCGATGTTCACCCCAAGACTCAGGTAATTGCCAGACTTACCCTGTCCAACAGGTTCATTCAGTTCACCTCCTCTGCTATTGGTCAGTGCATTGGTTTGATAAAATAGCGAATGAGTGAACCAGACGAACCGGTTAAACAGGATAAGTCTGGCACCTGATTTAGTGACATCAAACATGCGCGCGCAATGGCCGTATGCACGTTCGACTCCCGCGATCATGCAGGCCTATACGAGAATCACTTGGTGGAGTAGCTGCGGTACTAAAGTCGGTCGTTGAAAGTCAGGGTTAGCATTAGGGGGAAAGAACGAGCACTTCCTCAGACAAATCACCGGAACTTCCGCAGGACAAGCCAGTTTGCAGAAGTTTCGCAGGATTTTGTTCACTATTGCAAAAATGAAAAAGTTGAAAATCGAACGCGGAATTTTCATGCCAAACTGGTTGAAAACCGGAACTTCCGCAGGACCTTCTTCAAAATCCTGCGAAAATTCCGAAAAATGCAGAGGTTCCGCAGCACTTTGGCCTGCCAGAACTTCCGTAGGACTTTGAATTTGTTGTCTCGTGATGTTGCCTCGCCAACAACTAGCCATCGAACATGTTAGTCGTAATGTAGAGGATAGTAGGTGAGCCTCACAGTCAATGGAGTGAGGCTCAAATCTCGCTTCGGTGTTCTCCTTTGCTGTTGTGGTTGGCATTCTTCGGAACTTCCGCAGGACCTCATTTCGGAACTTCCGCAGGTGACCGTCGGAACTTTCGCTCTGCGAAAGTTCCGGTCATTTGTCTGAGTCAATTAGGCACCGCCCCCGCAGACTGCTGGTCCTTTTATCGTGCTGTTGCGAATCGTGTTGGGACCAGTTGTCCGCGGAGGCGGTGCCTAATCTCAGACAAATGACCAGAACTTCCGTAGAGCGCTTGCGGAAGTCCCGTCGGATCACCTGCGGAAGTTCCATATACGTGCTGCGGAAGTTCCGAAATGAGGTCCTGCGGAAGTTCCGAAGAATGCGAACTACAACAGCAAAAGAGAACACCGACAAAATTTGATTACTCTATTGACTGTGAGACTCACCTGCTATGCTCTGCACTACGACTGATACGTTCGATTAATACACTCTAGTTGCTGGAGACGCAACATTATATTAGACAACACACCAAAGTCCTGCGGAAGTTCTGGCAGGCCAAAGTGCAGCGGAACCTCTGCATTTTTCGGATTTTCCGCAGGATTTTGATGAAGGTCTTGCGGAAGTTCCGGTTTTTAACCAGTTTGGCATGGAAATCCCGCGTCCGATTTTCAACGTTTTCATTTTTGCAATAGTGAACAAAATCCTTCGAAACTTCTGCAAAATTGGCTTGTCCTGCGGAAGTTCCGGTGATTTGTCTGAGATTGAGGTGTTCGTTCCTCTATCCGCATTAGCTGTCCCCTTGCGGGTAGTTGGGGTGACAGAACTTATTTAGCCAATTAAATATCAAACCTGTTTGTGATATAGAACACCTAACGTGTATCTATGATGGCAGGTTTTTTAGCCATTTCTGGTGCCGCTTTGTCTCACCAAGAGCTTTTCCCTTTTCCACTGTAGCTTCGTCAGTCTTTTTCTAGTGGCACGAAAACTCTACATAGATTTTTGTGCAATAATTTTAAAATATTATTTGCTTGAAACTTTTTGATATACTTTGCCTATATAAAGGCTGTTGCATGACGAAGGCGCAATACCTTTGGGCGCGATCGAGGCTCTATTAACCAGAGAGCGCGTGAGGCGCAGGATTTACAACGGTGAGGATACGCGCGCGCCGCGTTCGCGCCCCCTCAACTGATACCGCTTCTGCGCCTTCGTCATGCAGCAGCCTCCATGGTTTCGAGCAGACGATATAATCTACGATCAGCACGGCAAACCGAGGCACCTGACCGCTTCCGGCCTTTTGACAGCTGAAGAAGCAAGATAAGGTAGGCGTTGTAAGTTTGACTTACGAAGCTCCGCTGAAGAGGTTAATCTAGCTGAGATCAACTCAGCTACATTAAGCTGACGGAAGAGGCGTCTGCTGCAAGCGCTTCTCAGCAAAATGGATACAATGAAGCTATGTTAATGGGAAAATGCGACGTGAAACCGAAGCGAGATAATCCGCTTTCCTGCAATGTCCCTAACTGAGAAAAAAACAAATTCAAAAAAAAACAGAAAAGAAATTTGTCTATTTTGCCCCTAAAGTTCATCTATTTTCTCGATTTTTGATACCTTTGTTTTGTCAGGTACTAGGGGTGTACGGGCCAAAGCCTGATGGTGTAGCGGTGTCTCTACAAAGAGTGGCTATCATATTTATTATATACACAAAATACAGAGAAAGGGAGAGAGAGAGCAGCTAGGCCGTACGGAGTAGCCTTCACAGCCGTACAGCCTTCACATTCCTTTTCTTCTCGATTCCGCGGTACTGCAGAGCCGCCCTGTATGCTTCATTTGGTGCTGCCAAATGGCCAGTATGGGGAGCAATCGTATGGAAGGTTCCTCCCCCCCCCCCACTTCCATTCTCCTCTACAGTATGCTAGACGCGAAGGTGAGAGACTTCACCGCTGGTCATGGGTGTTCACACCTCGCACCTCGGATTTGCTCATCGTATGAAAAATCACTCACCCATAAACATTCTCGCTAATGTGCAATTCCTTTTGCTAATCTTCCTTGCGATTTCATCTGTGGCGAGCTCAGTAATGCTAAGTGTGATCTCTTAACGACTGTATAAGTTTTTGTCGGAAGCACTTCATAAAAATCTTGGAGAGTAGGGAGAATATCTTGAAGTGAATTGCTCTTAAATTGTCAAATTGTTACAACGACCTATATCCTGATCTGTCGCATACTGTAGAGATTCACATTCTGATTCGAAAACGATCAGCATAGAATTGTATAGCCTATTTATTAAATAGGGTCTGGTTATATGGTAGGTAAACCAAAATTCTGTCGCTTCCTTTTTGAGCTTTCTTTCTGCATCCTTGAATGTAGTTTATGCAATGTTGCAAATTATCTTGTGGAGCTCATGTATATTTCGTAGAAGTGAGCCACACAGCATGAACTGCTAGTCTTTCACTTCCATGAACTAAATCTACAGGCAGGAAAGAACCTACACGCTAAGGTAATTTTATAGATTGTGTGGTTCTGCGGAGACTTACCTTCCAAGAAGCATCGCGATGTGCGCACTGAGTTACCCTTAGAATTGCTGGCTTTTATATTCATGCCAATGTTTTCAAAGTTTCTATAGAAAATGAAGCCGTTCTGTATTATATATGGTCTGTCATTTGAGTGTAAGCATGCATAGAAGGGATTATTTACTGCAAGCGATTTCCACTCTTTGATAAATTTTACATATAAACAGGGAAAACGAAGGAACTTGCATTTGATTTGTAAAGCAAATACTGCATCAAGCACAGATCCCCTTGGTTCTAAACAAAAATTGATTGGAAGTCGAAGGGGCAGCAAAGCCATGATGCCCGTTCTAAATCGTGTACATCGAGCAAACGCTAGTGAACAATAATAGATAATAAAGAATAATTGCCTGTACAAGCAGAGGTAATGTCGAGGCACGCGCTTCAAACTCAGCGCACCTTTGAGACCCCATTAACAAAGGCTCCAATACACCGAACTTGGAAAATAAGGTGGTATATCCCAAGCAAGAAAACTTAGCGTAAATCAATCCATACAAGGCCAAACCGCGTTACAAAACTTAGAAAATTGAATCAAGTTTGTCGGAGAGATGTAGTGCGCAGAAGAAAGGAACAGTAAAATGTCCTCTAGGTTCTTTTGCTCTAGTTTCTACCAAGCATAATAGGGACATCAAAGAGCATGGTTTAATACATATGGAATCCTGTGTTTAACCC